GCCGCTCGTTCGCGTCGGCCCCGTTGGCCCCGCCCTGCTGGCCAAGTCACGCACGCGCCACGCCCCTTAGCGCGGCGCCCGCAGAACTCGAGTTGGAAGGGTGGTCTCAGCCTCGTCTCCCAGAGCGAGGGTGGCCGGGGGGGTGGAGGAGGGGGAGGAGGGGGGGACCTGGCACCGAAATTCTTGGTCCCCGCTGTCGCCTTTTCTCCCGTGTCCTTGCGGGGGCGCTGCGGGCCGCCGTGGGTCACAGCAGAGGCCCCATCACGTGTCTGCAGGTTCCCCTGGGCCCAGGCGCGCCCGCGTTGCGGGGGTTTGCCTGTTTGCGAAAGTGCTTAGTGGGCGGTGGGTTTGAGAAGCGCTCTCGGCGTGACTCATCTAACCAACCGGGCCGAAATAAGTCAGCCGACGCCCGCCGCAGACTGACGCCGAGCCTGGGCGCGCGGACGTCCCCTTCTCTGTTTGGGCAGGGCGGGCGGACTGCGTGGGCTGCTGGAGGCTGCGAGGCAGAGCAGGCGCCGCCGGACGGGCGTCGGCCCAGCCGCCTCCGCGGCCTGCTGGGCTTGGCGTTCGAGCTGTGCCGGCCTCCTGTGGGAGGTGAGGGTGTAGAACTCTGCTCTTCCGGGGTCCTGCCGCCCAGGGAAGCGCGAGATCCTGGGCGCGCCCCAGCACACCTGGAGCCCCCGGCGCAGCCAGTGCCCACCAGACGCTAGGAGGCGGTGGATGGCCAGCTGGAGAGTGCCACTGAGTCCTCCCGTTCACTAGCCAGCGCCCCTTGGCCCCTTGAAGTTGTGGGCCTCCAGGTGGCCTTCAAACAAGCCCACCCCTCTCCCCTGTACCCTTCTGCTTACCCAACTCAGCTTCACCCCGTGTCCTAGCAGCTTCCTACAGAAAAGTCCTGGGCAAGCCCGCTCCCATTATAAATGTTTACTCTAGCTGCCACCTGTACCATTGGTTTCTTTGAAGACTTCTCCCGAAGGGATACCAGTATTCCTGCCCGGATCCCACTTCTTCCCTCCCAGACTTCCCTCAAAAATACTCCTAAGCCCAGGACCAGCAGTTAGCGTAATGGCTATGTCGCTGGACTGCCTCGTAGTCGACCACGGTTCCCGGTGGCTTACATCCTGGGGGTGGGGGTGG